TCCCGCAAGGGAAAAGCCCCCAGTGTGGCCAGCACCTTGAGTCCCCCTCTAGATGATGCCTCAAAATGCTGTGAGTGCAGGAGGTTGTCCAGTGGTGTCACCGAGGCTATCTCCTCACACGTATTCAGGTGTTTTGGATCCAGGATATGGGGAGATGTTAAATACTGAGGGAAAACATGTATCATAGTCTCTGCTCCTAATATAAAAGGTTATTGGGATAACCTAAAGATTGTGTGTAAGACTACAGCTTTTTCTGGTTTCTTAGATGTTTTCTGGGTTCTTTAAAAAATCATCATCATAATCTGTTCCAAAATCTGAGCCAGCTACCTTCTGTAAATGTCTCCTGCTGTGATGAATAGCTGAAGTATTGCTATCCTTCTTCCAGACATGAGCTACATGGACACGCAAGCCTGTGTCAGGAGGCCAGCTCAGAGACCTCCTGAAGTCTCTTGCAGCATTAATTATCCCACATACCTGTGTTTTTAATCATGGAATCATAGAATAATAGAATCATAGAATAACTGGTTGGAAAAGACCTGGAAGATCATCAAGTGCAACTGTCAACTGAAAACCACCATGCCTCTAAACCATATGCTGAAGTGCCACATCTACACGTTTTTTGAACACCTCCAGGGTTGGGGACTCAACCACTTCACTGGGCAGCCTGTTCCAATGCCTGACCCCTCTTTCAGTAAAGAAATTTTTCCTAATATCCAATCTAAACCTGATAGGTCCTGCTTACTGAGGTTGTCTTGGAAATGCTGTAGATGCATAGGTCAGCCTGCAAGGCATGTGAAGCAGGTCTGTGTGCCCAGGTCATGGCAGCTTCACCATGTGCACATACGTGGGAGTGCCTATGTGTACACTGTTCCCACAAGCACTGGCCACCTCCTGATCTCCCAATCTCTGTCACATCTGGTCATGCGTGGATGAAAGTGAAAAAGTCAGAATCTGCAGTTCTATTTCTTTTCAAGAGAGAACTTCTCACCACCACCCTCCTGGACTTTGCATCCATCAATAAGGTCAGTTGAATGGGCATGGCTATGGCTGTGGACGTGGTAGAAAGCTAAATAACAGCTCTGTGCTACCAAGCAATTTGGTTAGCAAGTTCCCCATCTAACACAGAGGTCACCACAGTCGTAATAAACTCAGGGCTGTCAGCGGGTTCCACCCTGCTCCTTGTGCAGTGGCACCACTGTCCAGGTCCCACACAGGCAGCACCTTGCCTGGTACTGGGCGCTGTGCAAACACCAACAACCACCAGCCTGTCCCAACAAACCAGGATATTTAGAGAAAAGACTAGTGGTGCGAAACAGGGGACAGAGGAAGCAAATAAGTTTGCCAAGTGTCATGTAGCAGTTGAGGAGCAGAGCTGGAAATGAGATGTCAGCCACCAGGTCCCAGAGCCACGTACATCCCCAGAACAAGAAAGGAGCAGGTATTAACAGAAATGTGGTGATTTGGAGGCATGGCTAGAGGGACATGTTCAGTGTAAAGGTCATGCTTCAGCCCCAGGACCTATAATCTATTTTGCTTGAACTCTACTAACCAGTTTAAGCAAAGAATAGATGGGACGTCTTCCCGCTTCCTGCATTGGGCTGTGCTGGAGAGATAAAGCTTGCAAGGATGAAGCAATAACATTGATGAGACTGATGGAGAAAAAAGGAAAAGCCCATCAAAAAAAACCCTAAAAAACACAAATGATGAAATTCCAGGCATATAAGCCCTTTACCAGGGCTAAAAAAATGGCAGAAACTTTCAACGCAGGTCGAGAACAAATTGCTCTAACTTTACATTCTATTAATCTCTGAAATTGCCTGAAAGGAATGATTGTTAGTACTTGTGAATCAGAGGCAGGATGCTCATTAATGATGAGATCATGAACCCCTGTAGGACAAAAAGTTGAAGTGAGAGAGGTAATTTGTCAGTTTGCTTCATTTTGTATGCTTGACAGCAGTGAATAAGGAGTCATTGCCACTGCTCCTTCCCTAAGTCAGTAATTTTTTATTATATTACTTTTCTTTGAGGTTTTGCTACTCCAGGAAGGAAGAAAACATTTCAGAAACATCTCACCTACCATTTTTGTCCCTAAAACTTGGGCACCTCCTCCAAAGCAGCCACCCAGTTGAGGGAGAAGAGTAGCTGGGGATGACATGGTGTCCCTCAGCTCCCAGGACCTGGCAGGGCCTCACTGGGGACCCCAGCGCTTGGGGCACCCAGCTGGAGCCAGGCAGAAGCAGGGTCTTGGGGCTAAAGGGCCCTTGGGGCCACCTTTGGCCCCGCACCTTCTCACAGGACATCAGCAGAGCCATAAAAAAAGTTACAAAGCTTTCTTTTTAATATTGGCCGGACCAGTGATCCCAGCCCGCCAGGGTGCCCAGGGGAAGAGAGTAGCAGGGACCCCCGGTATGCTAAATGTTCACCTCCCACCAAAAGCATACCTAAAGCTGCTGCTTACTGCAGTCTTCAGAGGCACATGAGACACTGAAAAGGTTCAGTATAATTCATTTTGGCTCTTCACAGCATTTAATTCCTTCAGTGAGGAGTTGCAGACAGTGATCTTCTCCATTAGCGCTCTTTTTTGTGGTTGTCACAGAACACGCCTCGTGCAGCAGCAGGCTGTACGTCTTGTAAGACAGGAGTGCCTTCTAAATTGCACTGGGCCTACACCCAGCTTGTTCACCATATGTTTAAAGCTGAAAGCACTCCAGCATTAGCTGCAGTTCAAAAGCAGACACATAATTTGTTTCACATCGAAGCACTCTTGGATATAATTTTACTTCAGACTAGCAGAGATAAATGACTTGCTGGAAGATATCATTTGTAGGACAGAACATTTATATCGCAAAGACTAGAGATTTTTCTAAAGCTTTATTATTGTTGCAATGAATCAGCATTTGCTGCTTGATGCAATCTTGGCAGCACGGCAATGCGCTTTTTACAGTTTTGAAAAGAAATGCAGAGTAGCTGTTTTATTTCAAAATAGCATCTTTTTTTTTTGTTTTAGAGGAGGTGCATATGTAGGGCTATTGGATGGTAAGTCTCAAAATATATACAAAGGATTTTGCCTTTGGAAGGTGACTATTCCAGATCAGATTCTACATACTACCATTTTTATTAAAATAGCTGAATAAGATGAAAAAGAACAAATTGCAGTGAAGACTTTGAGCCTGCACACAATTATACATGCTGATATAGTTCTAAGTGCTTGATGGTTTATTGCATTATGTGGGTCTCCACAAATGCATCTCTGCTTACAGATACATCTGCAGGATTACAGCCCTAAATAATAACCCTCTGATTCTATATTTTCAAGTAAGGATATTTCTAACTTCGTTAATAGGCATCTTCCCCCTCCAAATCTGCCAGAGAGTATCCATTCTGCCCGATACAGAGCTAAAAACCTTTTATGCTGATGATAATACTTGGAAACGGCTTAGAGCACTGGAGAGTGTTTACATTTTTCAGAAATGAGTAGTGACTTTGGGCATAAGCACCTTTAGCAGAGCATAGTTGAGCAGAATAGGATCTGAAACTCCAGTTCTGGCCAGTATTAACTGGAGTAGGGGAGGGTGTTTTAAAATGCAAAGCTAATGAACGAATCAATACAATTTCAGAAGCACCGCATGCATGCACACATGCCCAGATGTGTTTAGCTTAGCTCTGCCGTTCCCTCTTGCTTTCTCTATAACCCTACTAACATTAAATAATAAATCTTGCTCTCATCCAGTACCTCGTTCCCCTCCTTTCCTTGCTCCCAAACATAATATCTGTTACTTGAGAATATCTCTCTGCACCTCCGTAATGTTAACTGCATCCCATTAGCTGAAAACACCCTCCTCCCTCTAGATGAAAAGGGTAGGAATTTGTGTATTATAAAATTTACAAAGTGAACAAGATTATGACATACATTATGAATGATGCCACCCAAAGAGGAGGAAAAAATGCTGCAGTCATGCAAGATTTGCAGTGGCATCACTGTGACTTTTGCTTCAACAATAGCTTGTAGAACTGACACCTAAAAAAATTATACAATATAAATCGAATTTATGGCATAACAAATAATATTTAATATATAGCATTGAATGCATACACATCAATACCAGTGCTGTAACAACAAAACAGAACTCGTAAAATTAGCAGCAGTTTTGCAAGTACAAAAATACACATTTTTTTTCAGAACATATACAATAGCAAAATTTATCAGGATATATTATACAAACTCAAAGCATTTAGATAATGCATTACTTTTAATATATTATATGATGTTTTAGATGCTGCATAATAAAATTACATGTGTTCTGCTTGCAATAATACATAACGCCATTTACAGCAATGTTAAGAAACTATTCACAACTTAAACACGAACAGAACAGCCAACGAAGCACAATAAATGAAACACACAGAGTTGTGAGGTGTTAGTTACAAGCTTCAGCGTTTCTCTTTACGTGTTTTTAAGCTTACTTTTTTCTTTCTTTTGCAGTGTGAAACAAATAACTACACCTGTTGAACATCCCTTATAAACATACAGAAAACACTTATTCCTTGGAGGACAATGAAGGTAATACCTATCAGTTTCAGAACAGTAGTATAATACCACAGTTATGGAATCTATGCTGACTTTGCACGCTACATCAAAACCACAAAGGACTGGGACTCACATCCGCAAGGCTCAACACACGAGTGGTCAAGGGGAGAGGCGCAGTGGGCACCCCGCTGCCCTGGCAGGCTCAGAGAACAGGGCACTGCTTTTAGTTACCTCCTGGGACCCTTCCAGATTCCCAGGAGATTTCTGTTTGCTTGCTTTTTAGCAATTTTTGTTATTCTTACAATGTTCTTGCAAAGCTTTATGTGGGAACATTACTCAGACAGTTTCCTAAAAAAAGAAAACCTGTGAATCTGGGGACAGCTCAATTAAATTTGAACAACCTGGATACTGAACTTAAAATGAACACACATTAACACCAAAGGCATTTTCTTTATGGTGTTTATTTTAAGCATTAATATTCCTCCGCAAGAAAGCTTTGTTCAGTCTTTTCAAACTTTGGATTGCTGTAATGCTCTTCTAGACCTCCTCTTTGATCTTGGATCATGAAGTCTGTCTTTTCCTGTGACTTTCAGAGGTAATGGCTGAATGTCAGGCTTAATCAAATAGCCGTCGACTTCATCAGTTGGTTTCAGGGGCACTGGCCTGCTGTTGGGCTCCACCAAGCCCCTCTCAGCCAAAGCGTCTGTAGGTTGTGGAGATGGTAGCACCTTGGTGGGTGTAACCAAATAGTCATCAGCCGCTTCAGCGACAGTGTCTTCAAGTTTCTTTAGTGACTGAAAAGTGCTATCGAAAGGGGAGGAGGTTTCAGTCGGGGTAAACACAGATTGGTCTGAAAACTGAGAGAAAGCACTGTCCAGAGAGCTCATCGACGACACAGATGGAGACGTCCCAGGAGATGACAGGCTAGAAGAGCTAAATCCTGAGCAAATATTTAATCCCTCTGTCGTTGGAGGCAGGAGGCAATGGGACAAGTCTTTTTTTTCAATGTTTTGGTTTGTGTTGTCACTTTTACCAACATTAATCCCTATAATCAAGCTCTGATTTATAAGCTTTTGCCCCTCCATCTGCAATGACCGAAGCTGACGGAGATAGTCTTCATCTTCATGAGACAGGACAACATCATAGCTGGCTTTGCGTGTTGCCTTCTCATGACCATCACCAATGCGGGCGAATCTGGGGGCAAGGAGGCCAATTGCCGGCTCTGAGGAGCGCCTGTGTCTCCTCAAGGTTTTGAGAGCACCTGAGGTAGCTGCTGAAGAGAAGCCCAGTGCACTGGAGCAGAGAGACTCATTCTCTGAGTTTTCTTGTGATGAAAACTTATGGTGCACGTCAACAGAAATTGTCAACTGTTTTGATTTGGTTTTACTTTGAATTTCATCCACCTCCGTCTGCTCAGAATCACCGTCACTCAGGGTGAAGACAGACTCCCTGCTCCTGTTATCCTGATCTCGGTTCTTAATCCAGTCGCTGGAAGAGGAGTCAGCTTCATCATTTGCCTCGTTTTCCAGGCTGTCATAGGAAGAGTCATTCAGATGGAGGGAGGCAGCATCTGCAAGGACAAACCAAGTGTTGACACGTCAGTGACAGAACTACCCTGCTGACAAGCAGCTGCATTTTTTGGGGGAGGAGCAAGTATCCTCTACTTGCAAGAGCATTCACCCTTTGAAGATTCTTCAAGCATAAATGCCAATGATTTCAGAAAAAATTAATGTCTAATTTTGAAATGGAAAAACTGCTAAGCTGCGGTTCAGTCAAGAAGCATAGGATAACGCCACAGACAAGGGTCAGGGGTTTTTCGTGTTTTTGGGTTTTCTTATTTAAGTGGGGAACTTTAGTAGTAGGTAATCCAGCTGTAAACAATAATTTACAGACAGACTATTACATCAGTAATTCATTGAATTTTTCTTTTCAGTATTGAATATTGAAAACATAATTTCAGCTTTCTTTCCTTCTTTTAGAAAAATGAAGAAAACAGGTTATAGTTCATAATTTTATGGTCTTCCAGAAATCACAATATTTTTAAGAGCAACACTATGAAGACAGTTCTAGTCTCAGTTCAAACAGTTACCTCATTTCCACTGAGAGGTGCGCACCTGCTCCCTATTCCCTCTAAGCGATAACTGGAATTACATTAAATCTCTTTTGCTCTGGGCTGTGCTAAGCTGACTTATCTCACATTTGCAGCAGACAGAGTTCACGCATGGGCAGTCACCACACCTCAGTGCATGCCTGAAAACGTCTTCAGCTGCCGCAACCTATGGTGGGTCTGAGCTCTCAGTCCCAGCAAATCCCAGCACAGCAGATCCCACGCGCTTCCACACTTGGGGAGGGGGCAGGCCAAATTTCACTGAATTTCACCAGATTTCACTGGAGGCAGAGCATGAGGAGCTTGGGCCAGCTACACTGAGTCAGTGTGGCATGCCAGAGCAAGTGCCATTACCACTTTCATTATAGGCCAGCTGTGCAAAAATTTATTTTACGAAAATGCTGCTTTAGAAATATTTAAGGAGAAACACAAAACTCCAGTCAAAATCACTATCACGGGGCCAGAGAGAAAAAGAGCATTAATGATATTCTGGAGTGCTCTGCCAACTGGCCTGTCAGACATTTTCAGTCCCCTGTTCCATGATTTTTCTGTGCTGGGAGCAAAATCTGCATGTCCTAATGAAACTCTGGAGATCCCTCTCTTTTGATAATGAAGAATAGATGCTTTCAACCTTAATACAATGGTGTGACAGCTGTATTATAACCATTGTTGATCAGTGACTTCCTGATATTCTGGGAATGCATAGACTAGGGCAAAAATCCTAAACTTGAGATTAAACCTTCTCCAGAACTTTTTCTTTTTCTTTATTCCTTTCCCCCCGTTTTTTTAACATAGTGGCTCAGATGACTAGAAAAGGAGCAAGGGATTCTTTGGGAGAGCAGTTTGTGGTATGGTCCAGGTCTATGATAAGTTAAATTGGTGATTATCACCAATACTTCAAGCAAAGGAAAGAGAACAGCAGCATCTGGGCACAGCACATAAAGACGGCACAGCATTCTTCCATGAAATATACCTGATCTTTTGTCTGGCTGAGTTCAGCTGTCTAATCGGGTCAAAACATAACCTGTATTACCTGAGCCATTCTCTCTCTTGCATGTGATCAGCATTTCTCCAAAGAGGGAGGTAATTTCCTCTCCAAAAATCCTGCAGCAATTCTCAGTGAGGAACTGTACCAGACTAGAAATCTGCAACAAAGCAATGGGAGAGAGAAGTTCGGTCAGATCTTCCATGATTTCACTCAAGGCAAACTCACAATTCAGATGAGGAATAGGAGCAAACTGCCCATCCATGATGTGCCCCTCCAACAGCCAGGAACTCCTCTCCTGATCCCCCGGGGCTGAGGAAAACAGCCAGGCCCAGCTAAAATTTCCCATCTTTTCCATTTCCCCTCTGTCCTGTTCCAAGGCCACCACAACCGGAGATCTTCCCGATGAGAGAAGCACTTTGCTAATACACTGGGTATTGCTTTATGATCTCCCTCCCTTTCTTCCAGGCAGATTACGAGAATGGATCGATGAACGTTTCTGGAGCCCTGATAAGAGGACATGTCCTGATCTGAAGAGGTACTGACTGTTTTCACCTTCGTAACTAACAGCCTGGTTGAACAGCATGAAGATTTGTTTGGTTTTTTACTACATGGCAGTGTCTCTCACCTTTTTTGTAAATTCACTTTCTATATCAGGAGTCGAGGAAATAGGAGGCCAGAGCAGGCTAGGTGCAATGCAGATAGCCAGATTAAATGCATTCATCTGGTTCTCTTCAGATCGCATTTCTATACCATGCAGTACTCCAAAGATGTAACGTAAGAGAACAACATTAGCTCTGGGGAGCTGCTCTATTAACCTGTAAACATATACAAATGTAATTCTTCAGATTAGTGACTGGACAAAATTGGACTGTTTTCCATGAATACATACAAGTCAAGATAATGCAAATACAAAAACAGGGTAACGCGGTTCATTAATTAAACCAGGCAGCATGTCAGAGAGGTGTTCTTGCTCAGCTGCTTTCCCTCACTGTGACAGATCTCTGAGCAGTTTTCTGGGAGGACAGAAAACACCCTAACAGATAATTAAAATTACACTCTGTCAAAGTAATGAACCAAGTACAGTATATGACATGGAATGGTCTTTCACCTAAGCTGCCTGGTAATTCACTATTCACTTAACCAAACAGTTCCTTTGTCTCCCCATGCCATCTAGTTGCCATATGTATATACGTATGTAAGTACGTGTGAGGTCAGCCAGTGTACAAAGCTTTGTTTCCCATGACACAAACTTCGCCCACTTTCTGTTTTGTATCACCGGCAAGGGTGGAGGCTTCCCTTCTCACCGTGCTGCAGTATTTCATTCACAATTCCTTCTTGGCTTCAAAATGGTCATTAAAATTTGAGATGAATGAGGGGGAAAATAAGAGGAATGGATTTAAGTTACCCTTTCACCCAGGACCCCAAAGTTCCCTGCAGTTGGTTTTGGGTTTGGTATCAGGTAGAAAACCAAGTCTTGGACAGTGTATTTATAAATATTATAAACATTTTTTTTCATGGAAGGGTATTTCATTTATTTACTGGCATCCACAAAAGGCAGAAAAGCATGAAAAAAGAGAGACAGAAAAATTGTCCCATACAGGCAGTTGCTTAAATATACATGTAAGTTTAAATAGTCTGTCACATGTAAAGATATGTTCAGCATCTATTTACAAAAAAATTACTTGCAAGTTGTAAGTTGAATGTTTGTGAGTCTGCATTCTGAGATACAAATTTACAGGAAAAGAATACAGACAATATAAGTAACTTTACCTTTGGATGCTTTTTATCTTCTCTTCATTATTTCCTTGATCCATCACGGAGACCCACTTATCACAGAGCTGGGATGACAAAATGCTGCCTGGGATGTTGCGAAGAAAATCCTTGTCAAGAGAAAAGAAGAAGAAAATATGTAAACAGCTGTTCTGGAGCACGGAGGAGAATAGGAATAAATTATGCAGATACAAAAGGATGTATCAGTGGGACAGCACTAGCTGATAAGCATCTTGTTCCACACAGCAACCAAAACCAGCAGAAAACCATCTGAGATAAAGAAGTACTTTGGATTATTCTTTAAGTGAGAATTTTCTCCTTGTCTTCACCCTTTCCTGTCAAAATAGAGGCATTTGGATGCTTCATCTGCTATTGCTGACCTAAAAAATCTACAGTGGGACCAGTTGTTTTGATGCTGCATTGTCATGGCTTGACCCAGCAGCTGGCAACTAAGCACCAGACAGCTGCTCGCTCAGCCCCCCCTTCCCCTCAGTGGGATGGGGAGGAGAAACGGACAAAAGGTAAAACTCATGGGTTGAGATAAAGACAGTTTAATAAGATAACAAATATTGATACTAATACTAACAACAACAACAATAATAATAATAATCTTGAATATGCAAAACTATACACAATACAATTTTATCACCACTCAACGGCTGATTCGCAGCCAGGCCCGAAGCAATGATCATGGCACCCAGAACTCAGGGATTTCATGAATTTCGCGGCACTCCCAAAAAAGACCAAGCTCACAGAAAAGTTGGAACTCCCAGACAATGAGGATTCGAACTCACAGAAAAGAGAAAGGAAAAAAAGGATTCCTGCCCAACGGCAAACCCCCATTTGTAAACTGAACGTCTATGGTATGGAATATTTCCATCGGCCAGCTTGGGCTAGCTGCCTGGCTGTGCTCCCTCCCAGCTCCTGCAAGCACCCAAAAAGCAACATTCTTCACATACCTTAAACAAAGATGCTGTCACAAATATGGATTCACAGGCTAGGTCCACTTCAGCTCCCGAATCAAGCTTCTCCTTGAGCTCTTTGCAGGTTTTCGCACTTCCAGAGCGTCTGAAAATACCCTCAGTGGAAGGGCCCTCTTGGTAAAGCAGGGAAAGCATGTCCTAAACAAAATTAAAAGGCAGAGAGGCTTTTTCAGAAATGTATTTTTTTTTGTCTAGTGCCATTAAAATGTAGATTTGCCACTTTTACCACAGGTGAAAACCTTTGAAGTCCTAAAAAAGCTCAAATTGACACAGAAGTCAAGGCTCACCCTCCAAGCCACGCCAAACTGCACAGCAAAGCTGTGGTCTGGGGCACTGAGTTTGGAAAACATCCCCTCAGAAATACTCTACTGGCACTGTTCAGCGCTAACCTCCTGCATGATGTTACAGGGTATGTGCAAGTTTTAGTCAAGTCATTTAAACTTATAAACACTGTGATATGGGAAAAGGAGAGTGGTCTGCCCAGTCCAAAGCTCTGCATTTGACAGTGGCCTCGGCCAGACACCACTTTGCAGGAAGATATGAGACCCTCACTACTCGTCAGTGTGTTCAATATTATCACCGATCAGAGATGAAGACTTCTGTTCCGTGCCTGACGTCTGAAAAAAATGAGATTTCATCTAAGCTGGGAAGTGCTCTGCTTGTTAATATTTATCTGCACTTCTACACCAGATCAGAGTCAGATTTTTAGCTGTTTTGCTTCTTGTGAGCAGTATCGGACTCAGCAAGCAACTCAGGGCTGCTAGCGGGACCACCTCTGGGGCAAGGTGCTCCCACCTGGGAGGTCACCCAGAGGGGGCTAAAGCTTGGCTTACGGCTCCTTCAAAGCCAACGGGACTGCAATGGAGTGAACAGGCAGGCAGCTCACTACATGGGGTATTTAAAAGGAAAGGGAAATCAAGCAGATTCTTGCCTAGCTTTTACAATATCTGGACGCCCTGATTTCTCCTGCTAAATAAGAGAGGAAAATGAGCGGAAAAAGAAATGCTGAAATCAGAGACCTCTCCTGAGGAAATATGTACGTGACACTTTCCATCTGCTTCATGCTCTGCGGACTCCTGTGGGTCATCCCTCAGGCATGCCAGCCACCTCTCCCCAGGCCTGCTCCGAGCGATGTGGAATTTGTCATGTTTGTCTCTTCCAAGGGGAAGACGTGTGCAAACAGCCTCTGGGATCGTGAGCATGTACGGTCTGAGGACCAAGTTATCAAAAGATATGGCAAGAAAAGGGACACTGGGGGAGAGTCTGTCATCATTAAACCAAGTTACTGTAACAGTAATGGCTAAACAGTGGAGTTTGGTGACTTTCCTAGCCTGGGCTGTAAGGCAGGTCTTCCTGACACACAGCAATGCGAAAAAGTCTAACGGAAACTGTTATTTTCGCTTTTCTTCTTTGATGTTTCTTTCTCACTCTTGCAGAATTTGAAAGCCAAGCATTCATGCGAGTCCAGACACTACAGAGGAGCAACTTCATGGCAGCAGGACTTCTGTCAGCATCTCCAGTTTCTGTGCAGGGATTTAAAGCTCTGCTGTCAGAATAGGCTGAATCCCACAGCACAGGATCTTAGCACATGAAGAAACACTTTGAAAATATATTTTGAATAAAATACCCACAAGATAAAACTGGGAAGCCCTCTTAAAGTAGTAAATCCAGACAAAATTATACGAATGAAGCTAGTGGTGTAAGACAATTCAGTGTGGCAATGGCTAAAAGACAGCCCTTCAACTGTGAAAGCAAGCCTGAAGCTCTGAAGCAGAGATATCAAACATGCCTGCAGCATTCATCCCTGATATTTTCTGTGTCTTGCAGGTAAATCCCACACAGTCCCTCAGATGCAGTATTCCATTCTCCAGAGATGATGCATGAAATCAAAAGCAAGTTATATTTTGTGGCATAAACACAGTGTTTAAGATTCAAAGCACAAAGTCTACCAAGCTGTGATTCTATGCTTAGCAACTTTGTATTTTTCAGGTTAAAATTTACTAATATTTATGTTTTGGATAAATTTCTGAAATGCAGTATTGGCTCATCTCTCAGAGAGAATGAGGGACTAGGTTCTTGCACAGCCCATCCCTGGAGGGCTTATTTAAATAACTTATATGATAAAAATGCACACTTCTCCCTCTACAGAAAATAAGAAACCCACACTGTTAAAAGAACTGCAAAGTCCTAGTACGATTCATTAGTCAGGCAGTGATAAAGCAGCACATCAAGCACAAGCTTAGTAGACAAACCACCTCTTCTTGTAAACTGGTGTAACCCCACTGATTTGTGGGGTTCTGGCAAGTTGCTCCAGCCGAAAGGCTGTTAGAATGAGGTGCCCAGTCCTGCAGGGCTCACTCCCACTCCGTAAATACTTCAATTGCTGCATTGACAACAGGACAGTCCTCAGTCCTGATGAAAAATGCCACATATCTGCCTTAATTATGCCTAGGAATGGACCCTAGGACAACCTTTTTCATGTTCCTGGACTGGTTTTGAGAGCAGCCACAGCACTAGCGCTCCCTCAAGACAGGATGAGAAGATGCTGAGGTGCTTCTGCAGCCTCCACCTTCCCATCAATTTTTGCAGTGGTGCTGTCAGATCAAAAACACAGACATGGAGTGCTTGCCTGCTCTAGGATGCCTCTTAAAAAGGCTCTGAAACCATCTTCTTAAGGGCAGGTAGCATTTGTATGCAAGCATGGGCTGGCTATATGGGACAGTAGATGCCACATTCATGGAGTCGGGGATTTTACACAGATGGGAGTGGTTTAAAAAGCATTTGTGAATGTGGCATTTACTTAGACTGTGTAAGCAAGGATTAGGGAACTGGCCTTATAGCGTGGGCTATAAAGAAGAAATAGCCCAGAGCAGCAGAACGATCACATACATTTCTCAGGCTGTTTAGTATTAACCAGGCCTGACCACAGCATGTGTTAAAAACCAAAGTTCTTGCTGAGAACCACAAATGAGTTTTCCTTCTGGTTTCTCTGTTTGTGTAATTTCAATGTCCCGTTTACAGAGTGTCCCCATGTTCTCATTCACTACACAAAGAATTTCCACCACTGTAAGAGCCAGACCTGAATCTAGGACTCACCAAGAGGGGTTTGGGCAGGTTGTCATCCTCGCAGATGGCTGTCAGCAAGAGGCCAAAGAGCTTCCCAGGAGCTGCAGATGTTGAGGAGAGGGGCACATTGTCCAAGTGAGTGCCTGGGCCACGCCAAAAAGCCCAATTTATGATAGATCTTTTCCTTTTAAATGACTTTTGGCTTAAGTCTGGGAAAAGAGAAAGGTGTTTATTAGAAGAAATGCATTTCAATTCTAGTTCCAGTATTTGTTTTGTGGTGGTTGCTATGGTTTCAAAGGAAAACACGTCAGGAACTCAACCAACTCCTTGGCATCCAGCTCAGCCTAATCCGCCGAGCGCATACCTGTGCTCGTGTGTGTGTGTGTGTGTGTGTGCGCGTGCGTGCGTGTGCGTGTGCGTGTGTGTGTGTGTGTGTGTGTGTGTGTGTAGAATGTCCTGCCTCACCCACACTCTTAGGAGCATCACCAGGACCTGCACTGCAGCACTGGACCGCAGTGCCAGCACTTACCGCTAACTGCGGGATGGCAAACCTCAGCCCGGTGACTTCACACAGGGCTGGGCTGTGCTAAATGACTCATTTCCTATCCGCAGGTGCAAAACCACAGACGTTCTTTTAAAAAAAAAATGTATTAACACCACTGCCCTCACTTTGGCTTGCCGTCTGGAGGCATCCTAGTTCCCCAGCAATGCAGGAGAGCACCTGCTCTCCCCACAAGTAACACCGGAGAATCAGTTAATGGGGTGAGACATTGTTGGATCAGGAAAAGTTGCTGCCTTTGCTCTCTTCTCCATAAAGCAAGCATACAACTAGTGCCCTCGCTCCAAGCATTTGCTGACAATGGCCCAGGGACGGTGCCTGCCCTGTAATTAACACCTTCCAGATGGCATTTCAGCATGCTGCTAAAACACTGATGAGCTCTGTTTGTCTTCATTTATTTTAACATATTTCATGAGATATCTAAAGAGCATCACTAATTGAAGCTCTTATTTGCAGTGCATAGAGAAGGAAATACTGGTACTAGGATACAAAAAGGGTTTTTTTACATGACCTTTCTCAACATCAGCCAGTGTAAAAGCTTCTTAAGAGCATGGGCTACTATTGAGGGTGCATTGAGACTATTTATGATGAAAGTGCTAACTGGAAAAAAATTATTCTGATATATTTTTCCTTTTCTAGACTTTTTCAAAGCCAGTCAGCTTTTATTTAGTTGCTCACCTACCCTGTGCACCTTTCTATTAGTTGGCTCTTCCACCTGGTCAAACATGTTGCTTTTTGCTGTTGCCGAGGGCAGAGGGTAGAAGCAAGGCTTGCAGAAGTAAGGATTGTGGTATAATACCAGACTTTTTACTCCTATACTTTCCTACACTTGTTTTTTTAGCCCAAATAGTGATTTTCATTATATATCATTCCATTCTAGGAGATCACACTCCCTTTGGGAATGGGTGGAAGACTTTTCATGAGAGGCTTACAGGATGAAAAGTTACAGTTTAACTCGAAATGTGAATATATAAATGTGAAAGCCTGATGAAAAATTCTTTTAATAAAAAATAATAAGTAGGGTATACATTTTAAGCAGTCCAAAGCTTCATGAAATACAAGCTTGGCAGTGTATAAGGCTTTACTTGACACATCGTGTTTTGGGAGAACATAACTAACCTGTAGCTTTCAAAACGGCAATTTTTCTTTCAGATGAGCTGGATATTAGCACGTGGATATGGTTTGCTTTACTTGGAGTTCTATTCACACAATGGCAAACACATATTGGTGTTTTTCTCTGGCAACCCCGTAGATCTCAGTGGAAGTAAAAATTAAGAAGAAATGCTATTTTGGAGAATGAGGAATAGCAGAAGAAAAAATGGATTGCAAAATTAGGAACTTTTCTTAGCCTTTCACCGTTTGCTCCACTCTTAAAAGCCATGGCCCAAACTGACAATGTGAGCAAGGGGTAATTGTGACTAATTTCAGCTCTCTCCTGGGACAGGAAGGAAATCTTAATCAGTGTTCTTCAACATACCAGGGCAGAAGCCAGTAACTGACGTAGGGCAATGAAATGCCACGTCACAAAACTAACATTCACTGAACAACAGGTAAATTCATCCTTTACATATCCCCTTTTCTAAGGGGGTTGAGAAACCTTAAGGTAAAGAGCAGATGAGACTGGGATGATGTACACTTTCTTTTCTTGAACCTGAGCAAAGCTACAACACTAGGAGAAGCCCAGCCTCCTCTCAGCCAAGACAGGTGCCAACTATTGCTCTGCAGCAGTACTACCATACGAAAACTGAGGGCCTTGCTTTGGTGGATTATTCTAGGCCAGAATCAGAATAAAAGCAATACACCTTTGGTTGCAGAACTTGCTCAGAACTCACAGCAGCCATTTGTTCAGCTCATATTTTACATGCAGGGAATTTCTATTCACAGGTAGTGTCTCAGCCATGCCACTGGCATTTTCTCTTCTTGCAAACTAATCAGAAGCTTCTAAATAAAGCCTCAGATTTATTTAGCAATATAGCATCTTTTCTGATCAAACCCCTAACTGTCAAATTGTTTTCAAAGACCTCCTTTCTGTATTGAGACCAACTTGTTGAAATTTGGTTTCTCTTCTAACAGATGATTAAATAATAATTTGCATTACAGACTAGTCACCGTCAGCAGTTAGCTCTTTCAGGTTAACCTTTAAGCAAATCAGTGTTTACAATACTTTTTAGACATGTGCTCATGAGGTTTACCTAATGGCTATGTTTAACTGGTAGGTGACCATTCCTGTTACGTGCTGAAAGGCTGCAGGAGAGGCAACAGAAACACTCCAGTCCTTCCACACAGTAAATTCTTCTGTACTTTTTTTAACCGTGTTGTCAGGACAGCTGATGCAACTACACCACCACAGCTGGTGTCAACACAGCTACTTCTTTGATATGACGGCCAGTTGTCAGTCACGTCTGCCTGTCAACACCTACATCGCTGCCTAACCATGCTGCATGCTGGTACAGTTGGGCAGCTACCCCTTGCTGCCTCCAGAAGGGACAGCGTGTCCAGCACAGCAGTATCGGTGCCATGGGAGCTGGCGTGCTGCAGGGCAGGTTACGGCAAAGAGGTGGGAGGAGAAAGAGGACAGGCTGGGTGGCCGGCACAGGAGCTGTTGGGCCACACAGACATTTTATTTTTGCCAGGGTAACATTTGGTTTAAAATCTTTTGTCTCTGAGCTTTCCAAGCCTACATGCCACATCTTCACTAGGGTCACAATGAGATAGCTACAAACACCAGCTGAGAGCTTTAGTGGAGGCTCTGCTCAAACTCTGCTTCCAAGTTTCCGATTTTATCTCATTTTAAGGGAAAATAAACAGAGTAATCTCAGTGCTCTCAGCAGTAATTCCTACCACAATGAGATAAGCCACAAGAATATCAATCAGTTCATGAAGAGCAGGTAAGTCTTCTCTTGTCTCAGCTTGGGATGGCTTCCTCCCTGCCCCCGCAGGGAAGTGATGGGAGGGAGGATAGCACAGCATGTGTGCCAGCGAAATGTGGGGTTACAGACGCCGCTCCCTGTAAATTTGCCCCGTATGTGGTGGTGTGCTTAGTGGTTACCTAACAACAACACAGATTTTGGCTTGCTGATCTGAAAATGAGTCCAAAGCCAGATCACAGCCTTGACTTGCACAAAGGTACCCTTTGCCATTTTCCAAAACCAAAATAGGTGAGAGGGAGTTAGGGAGAACACAATGAACAGCACTCTATGCAAGACAATCTGGTTTGCAAGCAGTCAGACCTATACATCACTCTAAAAGGTATTGTCTGATGAAAGTAGGAAAGGTGAATGGACTAAAAGCCTCTTTCTCCCACTTAGCGCAGTCCCTGTGCACGACCTGCAGCCTGCCCCAAGACAGCCTCGCCTCCCCTCCTGCGGCTTGCGCAGCACTGCTGACAACACATCTGCATTAGAACTTTACAGACCTGATTTGCATTTCTATTTTCTCTTGCCAGTCAACGTCAGCTGCCAAGTGGGGCCTGGAAACCTAATTACACCCCTTTGCTAGATTGCCTCATTCTTAAAATATGCCATGAAGTAATAAATGACACACATTATTGGGGAAAGGGGGGATGAAGGAGTGTGGAAAGGAAATTAATTTATATAAAATGCAATCAATTTCCAGAATAATTTGTAATAGACACTGGTAAAGCCTCTCTATATTTAATTCTAAAAAATATTAGAAATGGATTCTAATAATACGTTGTAGGAGATCTTAGCTATTGAGGAGTCCACAGGATAACAGTGTGCCTATGATATTGTTATTATTCTATGGTCATTAATGCTGAAGTAGGGCAGTTTCTAATTGAGCTGAGTATGCTAGGTGTTAAGCATGATAAAATCCCACCACGGGATGCATCCTTGCCCTACAGAGTTTTTAGTCTAATGCCCCAGTCCTGTAAAGATCTCATTTGTTTTAGCCATGAGCAGCGAGCAGTCATTGCATCATTAACAGCAGAGTACAAAACAGAGAGCAGGTGCTCACATTTGTTCAGCATCAAGGCCAAAGGCAGAAGAAAATATTACTGTCTTCATTTTACTTAAATAGAACTGGAATAAAGAAGTTGCATTCACTCACTTCATCTAGGTACTCAAGTACATGCCTAGGCTTTGCCACGCGAGGGTCGCAGTGAGGCAGGTGCCTAGTCCTAACTACCTTGTTGAGATAAGGATGCTGCCAAGCATTGCATGGGAATTCTGTGCCAAAGTCAAGCCTTGACTCCTGAACTGTAAAATCACTCTGCCTTGCTACAGAGCACAAGGGCTGCAGAGAGAATCTCCTCTAATAGACTTACAAAAAACTGCAGGGGAGAGACCTTGTCTTTCTTTTGCTGGTTTTAGAACAACCATTTGACAGGCAACTTGTCAAAACGTAACTTACGGAGATGACACACACACAACAGCACACTCGAATCAGGGAGAGCTGCATTGCAGAATCCCCCGTGCAGGTGGAAGGCACATCTGCGTGCTCCTCTCTGCTCCCCACCCCCCCGCCGCATCCCGGCACGCTTGGCCTCCGTAGCAGAGCCCGGGAGGCAGCCCGGCGAGCGGTGCCGGGGCAACGTACCGTTCAGGCACTGCAGCTCCTGGGGCAGCTGCTCCGTCAGGAAGGACCCCTGGAGCTGCCTGGGGCAGGCACAGGGCTTTGATCCGTGGGGCATAGCATCGCGAATGTGGCTCATTTTAATTCCAAAGGGATATTCATGGCCTGTTCAAAGAGAAATCATAATGATCTGCGTTGGGTTGACTGGAGACTTGCAAAACTCCATCTGCCTTGGAGGAAAAGAAAATTTTGCAGGCTAGCCTGCAGCACCTTCTCTCTCAATAATCCCGAACTGACATTCTTCTGCATATTCATGCTGGCATAAATCATACACTGGCAGATATGGAATTACTCAGTTCAGTGTAGTTAAACAGACATAAAAGTAAAATCAGACCTATTACAGCTGTATCACATAAAAGTCCATCAGAAAAAACACAAGTGACTATTTCTGAATTCAGTGTTTATTCTTTCTGCTGCTTTACTTGCAACAGGGAAAGTGTAGGTACAGGTTGCTCATATGGTTCTGGCAGGAAAGGAGATTTTGGGAGCAGTCATGTGTCAAGTTTTGGCTGAGCATGCAAAACAAAAAAATCCAGTGTGAAAGTGATCTTCCCTCACTCTCCATGGTAAGTGCAACAGCCATCAACTCCGTCAAATGAGACACAATTACGGTTCCTGTCTGAGGCTGAAGCAGGAAGGAAACGTTAATCACAAGGCTAATGCAAATGAGCTACGCTCGGCATTAACCAGCTTCGTTGGGGACTACACAGAGGCAATTCATTTCTGGAGGAGCGTTCAAAAATGCCACCAGAGAGGTATTTTTCAGACTTGTCTAAAGAGCTGGCAGCTGAAAAAAATTAAATATGGGTGCAATGTTAAGAGGTTTTAGTGAACTTGCACTTAGACTTAAAAACTGATAGTGGAAGAGACATTATTTGAGATTATAGGTAGTGTGAAGCCAAAGCACAGTCAAACTTTGCTTCTGATGTCTACCTATGACAAAAGCCAGTCTTATCTGATAAACCTTTGCATAAATATCAAGAACAGCATCAGTTTGATAGCAGATTCTTCTTTTCCAAAGTTTGCAACCTGAATGTGCAGTGAGAGAGAGTCAGTCAATTAGAAAGGCCTTTCCAATTTCTGAATTTGCTCGTTCAATATTCAAAACCGTGGCTGTGATTTTATCTGAAGAAGCTACACATAATAGTTGGAAAGACAAAGTCTGGTGCATTTCAAAGACAAAACAGTTTGCACTGTCTATAAGGTGCACAAGTCAGACATTTTATAAATATTAATGTTGTCTGACTCCAGCAAAGCGTTTGTAGCTAAGGCTACTTTAAGAAGGAATGCTAAGATTTACTGGGGTTAGATTTGCAGAAGAAAACCAGAAAATGCACAATTTTTTCTTTTTCCAATCATCTGTGTACTCTTATATAGCACAAGTAATACAGGGCTTCTACAGGGAAAGGTTCTTAATAAAAGGAAGAGATTTGTTCTCAGTGAATCACGGGCCAAAATCAAATCACTCCATCCAATCACTTCTGAACTTTGTGTTGATTCCTGGGGAGGAAATGTTTCGAAAAGCATTTTAGAAAGTGAATAAGCAGTAATTTTCTCCTAATCAGCGGGGAGCTCTCAGCCCATAGAGAAATACAGGACTGGAAAGGACCTCTTGAATGAGTTAACTGGAGTTGTGGAAGAACAGAACACTTCTCAAAACTCTGTTGAGTTTTGCTGAGGAGGGGAGTAAACAACACTATGGAAGCATAGGAAGACATATCATAAAATCATACAATGGTTTGGGTTGGAAGAGACCATCTAGTTCTAACCTCCCTGCCATGGGCAGGGACACCTTCCACCAGATCAGGTTGCTCAAAGCCCCATCCAGCCTGGCCTTGAACACTACCAGGGAGAAGGCATCAACAAATTCTCTGGGCAACCTGTCCCAGTGCCTCACAATACTCATAGTAAAGAATTTCTTCCTTATATCTAATCTAAATCCACCCTCGTTTCATTTAAAGCCACGACTCCTTGTCCTATCACTACAGGCCCTTGTAAAAAGACCCTCTGCAGCTTTCTTGTAGGTCCCCTTTAAGTACTGAAAGGTTTCTATAAGGTCTCCCTGAAGCCTTCTCCTCTCCAGGCTGAACAGCCCCAACTCGCTCAGCCTGTCCTCACAGCAGAGGTGCTTCATCCCTCTGACCATTTGTTGCCCTCCTCTGGACCCGCTCCAACAGGTCCAAGTCTTTCTTGTGCTGAGGGCTCCAGAGCTGGGTACTCCAGGTGGGGTCTCACCAGAGCAGAGTAGAGGGGCAGAATCCCCTCCCTCGACCTGCTGGCCATGCTGCCTTTGATGCAGCCCAGGATACTGTTCACTTTCTGGGCTGCAAGTGCACATTCTTAGGTCATGCTGAGCATCTCATCAACCAGCACCCCCAAGTCTTTCTCAACAGGGCTGCTCTCAACCCCTTCATTCCCCAGCCTGTGTCTGTGCTTGGGATTGCCTCGACCCTTGTGCAGAACTTGCACTTGACCTTGCTGAATTTCATGAGGTTTGCACAGGCCCACCTCTCAAGCCTTGTCAAGGTCCCTCTGGATGGCATTCTTTCCCTCCAGCACATTGACCACACCACACACCTTGGTGTCATCGTCAAACTAGCTGAAGGTGCACCTAATCCCACTGTCCATGTCACCAACGAAGACGCCAAACAGTGCCGGTCCCAATACCAACCCCAGAGGAACGCTACTCGTCACTAGTCTCCACCTGGACATCCAGCCGTTGACCACAACTCTTTGAGTTTGACCACCCAGCCAATTCCTTACCCACGAAGTAGTCCATCCATTGAATCCACATCTCTCCAATTTAGAGACAAGGATGTCATGCTGGACAGCATCAAACGCTTTGCATGAGTCCAGGTAGATGATGTTAGTTGCTCTTCCCTTATCCACCAATGCAGTAACCCTGTTGTAGTAGGCCACCAAATTTGTCAGGCATGATTTGCCCTTAGTGAAGCAGTGTTGGCTGTCACCAATCAACTCCTTATCGTCCATGTGCCTTAGCATACCTTCCAGGAGAATCTGCTCCATGATCTTGCCGGGCACAGAGGTGAGACTTACTGGCCTGTAGTTCCCTGGGTCTTCCATTTTACCCTTTTTAAAAATGGGGGTTATGTTTGCTGTTTTCCAGTCAGTAGGAACTTCACCAGACTGCCACAACTTCTCACATATCATGGATAGTGGTTTAGCAACTTCATCTGCCAGTTCCTGCAGGACCTGTGCATGCATCTCATCAGGTCCCATGGACTTGTGCACCTTCAGGTTCTTTAGATGGTCTCAGACCTGATCTTCTCTTGCAGTGGGTAGTTATTCATTCTTCCAGTCCCTACCTTTGCCTTCTGCAACTTGGGCGGTGTGGCTGGAGCACTTGCTGGTGAAGACTGAGGGAAAAAAGTCTTTGAGTATCTCAGCCTTCTCCATACCTCAGGTAGGCAGGTCTCCTGTTTCCTTCTGGAGAGGGCCCACTTTATCCCTAGTCTTCTTTTTATCACCAACGTACCTATAGAAGCTTTTCTTGTTGCTCTTGACGTCCCTGGCCAGATTTACTTCTGTCAGGGCTTCAGCTTTCCTAACCTGATCCCTGGCTACTCAGAGAATTTCTGTGTATTCCTCCCAGGCTACCCATCCTTGCTTCTACCCTCTGTAGGCTTCCTTTTTGTGCTTGAGTTTGTCCAGGAGCTCCTTGTTCATCCATGCAGGCCTCCTGGTGTTTCAGCCTGACTTCCTCTTTGTTGGGATGCATCATTTCTGAGCTTGGAGGAGGTGATCGTTGAATATTAAGCAGCTTTCTTGGGCCTCTCTTCCCTCCAGGGCTTTATCCCATGGTACTCTACCAAGCAGATCCCTGAAGAGGCCAAACTCTGCTCTGCTAAAGTCCAGGGTAGTGAGCTTGCTGCACGCCCTCCTCACTGCCCTAAGGATCTTGAACTCTACCATGGTCATTGCAGCCAAGGCTGTCCTTGAGCTTCACATTCCCCATCAGCCCCTCCCTGTTGGTAAGAACAAGGTGCAGCATAGCACCTCTCCTCACGGGCTCCTCTATCGCTTGGAGAACAAAGTTATTATCAGCGCATTCCAGGAACCTTCTGGATTGCTGATGCCCTGCTGTGTTGTCCCTCCAACAGATATTGGGGTGGTTTAAGTCCCTTATGAGGACCAGGGCTTGTGAACGTGAGGCTGCTCCTATCTGTCTATAGAGGGCCTCAAATATGGTAAAGCTGGACTGGTTCCAGGAGAGGAGGTGAGTGGAAAGGCTGACTCTATAGAGAGACTGAGGCTCATGCAGCAAAACTGGGGCAGAAATAAATGAACTTATCAACCTCTGAGTGACACAAGGAGACAATCACTCTTTAAAACAAAGGACCAGCATCTGACTAGCTGCCCAAATAGGCAAACTTGCGTGACACGGAAGTAAGAGAAAAAACAGGAAAAACGAAACAAAAGAGGAAACTGTATTTCAGTCTTCTCTGTTTTTCTTGCTTCTTTCAGCACTAAAAACTGAGTGAATGTTGAAAACCAAAACCATGTCAACAACTTACCAATGAGAGGGTAAGGAGCATCTTCTCTTCCTGAAATCACCCACAGCTTGTAGTCTTTTTCAGAGCCCTTTAAAACCAAAAGTAAGAATAAGTTTGCCAGCCATTAAGAACAGGTTCGCCTTAGGTTTCTTGCAATATAAGGATAATCTGGACCTTGCCAGCAGGGTCAAAGGAACCCCCTTTACTTTTGCAGTGCCCAAATTTGCCACAAGCAAAGCTTTTGAATGGTGTCTGTCGTGTGCAATGTGGTTTCTGTGACCAGAGTCCAGCTTCGAGCAGTGAGAGGGGCTGGAGCCCGTCATTTCTGAAGGAAAAGGGGGAGATTTGCCCCAGTTCTTTCGCTGCCCCTGGAAGGAGAGGGATGGAGGTCACAGCCTGCCAGGACTCAGGATTGCTTTTGAGGTCAGGCCAAGATGTTAGCCATGGCAGCCCCCCATGCCATGTTAAGACTGCTGAGTCCTCTTTTGAAATTTACAGTGGAGAGGATAAATTTACATCAAAGGAGACAATTTCCAGAGGACTGGAGAATGTGAACATCTTTGGGAAAAGCTCTGTGAAACCACTGATTTGAAAGCAAATTCTAAATATTGCCTTTAGCATAAATATACAACTCAATGTTGCAGTTTAACTGGAGAAGGAGAACAGTGCATTATTTCAGATATGATGGTGAGACAACAGAGATAAAAATAATGATATTTAATATCAACCACTCTCAGGACAAAGGGTAATAGCAAGTGGATAAATACACTGTATGAAAAGTGATCTGTTATACCTTAAATACCTTTTCAGTGACATAGCTAAATCAGGATTATTAAAGTCTAAAAGCTTTCTGGCTACAAAAGGTGAAAAACACCTAAAGACAGTATTTATTTAGCTCTAAATTTAAATCCTACCTCCTTTTAAACAGATTTGCCTACTATCCTGCATTGTCTGGACCTTTACCCAGTGTCCCCAAAGCTCTTGAGACTCACTCTACTTGCTGCATGCACCTGGTGTAATGCTGATACACTCAATAAAGCCTTCGCACTTTGCTCTCTGACTGACAGAGCTTTCTGGCCCATATTAGCACTGCTGTTAAGTTTGCTACAGGGGGCAGAAGGAAAATAAATAGGCTTTGGAGACATCTCTGGTGCCTCAGGGCAAGCAGCCAGGAGTAAATAAATACAGCTGAGGAGCACAAGAAAGGGTATTTACTTTTCCTTTTAAATATATATATGAAAGGGTTGTTGCTGTGAAGGGGAAGCAGAGGAAGGGGAAGAGCTTGTAAGCGTGATTTCAGGAGACAGACTGCTCATCTCTCGATTGCAAATGTTGTCCTTTATGGGCTTTGTGAGGCCATTTGTCAGTATAAATGTGACTGTCCCAGAAAAATCAGCAAGTGTACTCAGCGAGCTGGGAAACCCAAGGCCCTTCTTTCTGTCCCACTCACTAATTTGGAACAGATGATCAATGCCATTTTGCACAAACTAGTTGTCATTTTACCAAAGAAACCACAGAGGGAAAAACCCCGATGCGTTAAACCAGAGTGAACTCAGCCAAAGTGACAGCCCCATTAATCACACAACATGTGAAATGTAGTTTTTCTAATTGCCATTGAAAAGTCGTAGAGCTCCTTTCAAGCGGTTCTCTCTGGACATAAATAAAATACCTCAAGACGGTGCATAAGGAAAAGCTTCCTTGCAGTCAGAATAATCCAGTGAGGGGGTTGGGTGTTTGACTGATATACAGGCTACAGCTTAATTTATTTAGCTTGTTTGATTTTATTGCTAATCTTATGATACACCTCTAATGAAAAAGGCTTTATGCTATGAAGATGCAGTGAAAAAATGTAGTATATTGCTTGGGCAAATAATTCTGCAGGCAAGATTTTACATCTTTCGAATGGCTTTCATTCTTTTTCCACTTGAAATAAAAATGTAATGAGGAAAGGGTTGATTGTGATTCATACAAAAGAACACAAAGCTGAAGCATAACCAGCCCCTCCTCCTGCTAATCTCAAACAAAATATTCTCTTTCAATACTACCATTTTCCTGTTTTTTCTGTACAGAAAATGAGGAAGTGCAAATTACTCCCATGAAATGGGTAGAAATAAAGCACATCATAATAAAGACTTGCAGTTATAATACAACATAGTACCTTGATTTTTGCTGCAGACTAGGGGAGACAATCTGCAATTAAAATCCTTATTTTAACTCAGCTCTTATACTTTCCACCTTGCCGTCTCTCTATCTACTCCAGAGCTTCCTTAACTGGACTGACTGCTGAGGCCAGAGCCCCAGCCCTGGCGCAAATGGGACGTCTGAGCCATAACAAGCTGGCTAGACAGAAACTGTTGTGCCTGGGAAACACCAAGCTAGCAGAATAGGTCCTTGGATGCATTAAAAGCCTGTACAAATTAGGGATAACAAATACTAGAGAAGGCAAATTCTGAGGTTACTCCAACTTTTGCTGGGGGTCTTCAGAAGGCCTAGGGAAGCACAGAAGTGGCATTTTGGTCCTATTTGATTCTTCACACTCAGGGCTGTGTGAAGGAAAGACTTGCCAGGTTCCATACAACGACATCAACACATGCATCGAGACAGACATTTCAAAAAATCTTGTTACCCAAACAGCAGACTGACAGGGCAGTTAAAATGCTGTCATCCAGGAGTTTCTGTGACCATCAGTGTTCGTTTGAGTCACATTGTGAAACAACGAGAGAAACAGAATAAGGGAGCCAGAATTCTTGTCCCTGGCACTGATTCATTACTACACCTGAGGCACTACCATGCCCGCTTTAGAGCAAAGGGAGCCATTTGAGGCACTACTTGATTTACTGGGAATCACTGCACCTACTTGGTGCACTATCCTGCATTATCATAAGTCTTGTAAAAGCCTTCTTCCAAAACAGTTTCAGGCCATTGCTTACAAATTGGGTGCATTCAGATTCTGTGCAACCACTCAGTTACATTCATATCTCACATGACACCAAAGGCCCATGGATATTTCGAGTGTCTGATCTGGACACTTGAGAGCAGTGCTTGTACTCGTAACCTGCGGACAGAGCTGATTATGCATGTTTGCACATTTTGAAATGAACTAACAAGCAGGTCTGTAGGTTTCCTGTTCACACTGACGTATGCAAAAGGAGCTGTATCAAACTCTCGCTTCTTGTGTCAAGATATCTCCTCTTACACATCAGCAACACAGATTTAAAAGCAACTTCAAACATGACAGATCCCTTACAGAGTTTAGAGACTTATTCAAAACTTTAAGGCACCTGATGGTCTCTGGAGGTCTATACATTAACAAGGCACTTTTGCTTAATTTCAACAACACTGAATTGTTATGATAAAGGATTTAATTAATGTTCATATCCGAAAACTTGGGAAAAGTGCAAGCGAAGACTTGATTATTAAAAGTGACTACAATAAGACTCATTAAAACTGGTGCAAGGACTTACATTAATTCCCAGCTGCTGCAGGGCCATGAGAATTACATCATTTGCTGTATTAACATTGGTTACACTCAGAGTTTTTGACTGTGAACAGAGAAGAGGAGAAGGGGAAAGTGGCATTAAAAATTTGGATTTGCAAAGAGTATCTGAAGTGTAACAGCCCTACATAATTCATTGTTGAAAAACTGAGAGTATCCTGTTAAAATGTTACTTGATAAATAAGTTATACCTCATACATAAAGACTCAGCTGTCTGAAACAGAAGCTTGATTCCTCTGCTTTGTCATATACTTTCTGTATTTGCTCCCCATTTCCCCAACAGCTCCATCAGAGGGGAGAGTGCCATGATTACCAGGGACAAGACCTCCACATTAAAATGGAAAAAGACACAGCTACTAATTGAACTTTAGCCACAGCAAAAAGACACAGCCACTAACTGCACTTTAGACACCGCATGAGGGAAATGTAATGGTTTAATTAATTTAAAAGCATGCAAGGTTCCTTTGAAAAAATAAAACATTTCAGTGAGTTTTTTCAGTGACATGAAATGTTCTTGTATCACTTGTTAATAATTTCTGTCCTTTTCTATTGAAGATCTCCCTGGTAAGGAAATACTGTGCACAGGCTGTTCATCCCTATATCCTTTGCCATGTCATGGACTCATGGATCATGGACTAGTTGAGGTTGGAGGGGACCTCTGGAGGTCATCTGGTCCAACCCCCCCCACTCAAGCAGGGCCATCTCTTTTTTGCCGAGTAAAAGTGTGGTGTTTACACTCATAAAGGACATTACATTTTCCTCCCTCCAGTTCAGTACTGAGTATTGTGACCATGACACAGATCTCATTTTCTGCATTGTTGGTGGTATTGAAGACTTTCTTTGAAGAATTAAAGATCAGTTTCACTGTCTGAAAATCCTCTACGTGGTATCTGGAGGCTGGAATACGTGGCAGAGGGAATTCCAGCTGGCATGGCTCTGCCTGGTACTTCGTCATTCCATATAGATTTCTCAAAGCTAGATTTGGCTTAGTACCAGAAGCACTTCCTCCTGGTAATCTTTCATCCAGTTAAAATGCTACCTCTCCAGCATCCTCCAGAATCTGCCAATCGGCAGTATGGAAAGGCACAGATCAGCAGAAATATTGCTTTCTAAATAGCTACGGTGACCAGCACTAAGCACCAAGTTTTGTGTTGGAGGAAGTCAGTCTTTCCAGAGTGAGATTCCAGCAACTAGTGCCTGGCCCCAGTATTATTCCTGTACAGCTGGGCAATGCTCTGTACCTCGGCACCATGGGTTGCTCTTATGCAGGGCAGCACATTTCAAACACACCAGGATTAATGACTCCATCCTCTGCTCCTCTCGTATGCGGCAGCACCGCTGCCATCACCTTGCAGAGGCAAAAATAAGTGGGGAGAGCATATCCAGGGTGATTTTCGCTTGTACGATCACATCTACCCTGGCCTCACTTCCAAGCCGACAGGCAGCTCCCACACATCAAACACAAGTTTCTAAGCCCTCTTTAGCTAGTTTGGCTCCGCTAATAAGACTACACAGCTTTTGGATTGCAGCTGGTTCTTGGCCAGCCTAAAGCCCTGGCAGAACAAACGCATGCCCGCTGCGACAAACCACCCAGGCACATCCAGCGGCCCAAAGAAGGGAAGGTGGCAGAGCCGGGATGTAAATGTTCACTGCCAGTCCCAAGACGGTTTGCTATACCCTGCTACGCCGTGTAGCACATCAATTTTATACTGGCCATAGCATGTTCGGGTGGAACAACCCCCCAACATTTTGCATTTAGCAAAGATCTGAGCTGTACATTTGTGTAAGTCTCTGACGGTAACAAGCTGCCATGGCAATCAAAGAAAAGTAGTGAGAATATTGTATATCTTGCTTCAGGACACATCTGAACGCTCATACCATAAAATATTTAATATTTGCCTGAAGCAATGACATCTGGCTCTCAGGAGTAGGTCAGCACATTTGCATAAGTTTTGCTCTTGGCTAGAATATAATAAAACGGCTTGTGTCTTGTGTTCAGCCTTCCCTACCCTCCAAAAACGTAATAATTCTTGGGCATCTCCAGCTGCTGTAGCACAGCAACCACAGTGCCATAAGAACTATTTGCATCACAAAGTTTCCATCTGCTCCTCCACTGTTTTATTACTGATAATAGCTAGCCTACAGTGTGTCGTTTCTAGGACAGCCAGAATCAGGAAACCATATTTGGCACATGAACTAATTATAGCTAAGGAGAAAAGACATTTTAAAAAAAAAAAACCCTGATACCACAGTGCAACAACCAAGTGCTTGTGTGATTTATAGGCATTTACACCTGAGCACACTTTGATTTGCAGTCCTGCATTTGAAATATCACAATTATTTTTATTGTTTATTAACAATTTTCTTTTGCAAACTGGCAATTCTAACTATTACTGTTTACCTTAATAATGATTTTCTGAAAAAAGGCACTCATTAATGAAGAGCGATGAAGAGTTAGAATGTACCCTCAGCAAGTTTGCTGATGACACCAAACTGGGAGGTGTGGTAGATACACCAGAAGGCTGTGCTGCCATTCAGCGTGACCTGGATAGGCTGGAAAGCTGGGCAGAGAGGAACCTGATGAGGTTCAACAAAGGCAAATGCAGGGTCCTGGACCTGGGGAGGAACAACCTCATGCACCAGTACAGGCTTGGGGCGGACCTGCTGGAGAGCAGCTCTGCGGAGAGGGACCTGGGTGTCCTGGTGGACGACAGGTTAACCATGAGCCAGCAGTGTGCCCTGGCTGCCAAGAAAGCCAATGGAATCCTGGGGTGCTTTAAGAAGAGTGTGGCCAGCACATCGAGGGAGGTTCTCCTTCCCCTCTACACTACCCTGGTGAGGCCTCATCTGGAGTACTGTGTC